GACGACCATCTCGTCTGGCTGCCTCCTTTTAAGTTGTATTTTGTACATTTTTTCATAATATACCATCAAGTAGTGCATCCGTTAAAAATAATAAAAAAAAAAAAAAAAAAAAAATAAAAAAAAAAAAAATAAAATAAAATAAAAAAAAAAAAAAAAAAAAAAGGTAATTTCTGAGTAATTCCAAACAGATTAACTGCTCCTGGGCACGAAGAAACAAGATACAAGGAGTGAGCCAAACATGGCACAAATTCCTCCAGCGTTGTACAAATTCCTCCAGCATTTTTGTAATCCTAGCTTGTACTGTTTTAAAAATGCCAGCCATATTAGACCAGTTGTCATAAGACTGACACCAACACTGTCCAATATCTAAACCATCAAGTGTCAATTAAGACACTAATTTTCTACAATGCGTTCAGAAATACAATCTCCTATCTTTTCACCAACTTCTATGAAATCAATTAAATTTTCCTTTATCTCACACATCACCACACATTTTTACGTATTGAATCACCTGGTTCATTTTTTTTCTGTAGAGGCACATATAGAAAGCAATCGAGCATTATTGTGTAGTATTTGGCTTCTTTAATATTGTTTAAAATGCTACTTTAGACTGTTTTGCCTTAAGTTAATAACTAAGTTAATAATTTCATTTTGTACCATCTTTGATAAATATGATTCCTTTCCCTTTGTTAGTGCTTTGACTGGTACTTAAGATTTAAATTATGTTTAGCAAGCGAAGAGATTAAATTAGAAAATTTTCTTCGCTAGGTCGAGCACACTTTGTGAACAGGCTACTTGGGATTTCATCAGATCCAAGAAAAGAATGACAGTTTGTTGAAAGATACAGTGCCGCATCCATGACTATATAGAATCTCTCTCTATTTTTCTTTCTCTGTGTGAATGAGTCGCTCAGTGTCGTGATCGATGCCTTGACATGATTTCATTTGTTGTACTCGAATTTTCCACGTAATCATGCACTTCTGTGGATTCTAGATGCTTCATGCTCAGTTAATCTTGCTAAAACTTTTTTCCAATTAATGAAGCATGTAGTATAGTGTAGCAGCACCATGTTTCTGATAAATCTTGCAGGGTATACAAAAAGTTGCATTCTTGTTTTTAGAATATGTACACCAAGATCTTCTAAGCTTTTCATTATATATTAATGTTCTGTATCACATGTCAAATGTCTGCCATCACGTTCAATAGGAGTAAGGTTTACGTTTTCTGCATGTTTACCAGCTAATAATACTGATTGACTGCTTAAGAAAGATTGTTGGTGATCATTCATTTTTTTCTATGATCAGCCAACTGCATGGGTCCAACAAATCAAAAATTTTCAGATTTTCGTCTTTCTACTGCCTGCCTCCATATAATTGATAAGATCTTTATATCATGATTTCATGCCCTTTAGCTATTTTTATGATGTCAATGAAAAAGGTTGTTCTTTTAAATGCTGATTTGCAGATTGTTTGGGGATGATATATGCAGTCATGTTTGATCGTACAAATTGCAAGAAATATTAATACCCTCTAGAATCTCAACATAATCAGAATTGCGGGAGGGTCCTTACAGTTTAATTCTTCCGTGAAGTTATTTTTTCATCTTAGCTGAAGTTCGTTTTCTCTGTTTGGCCTTAGCTTTGGCTCGCTTTCTATATTCCGCTTTTCTCCCCCTCGGAGCATAGATAGTTTCTTTTAATCTAAATGAAATTCAATATGAATTGCCTTAATAAGAATAACTAAGAATTAACGTAATTACACTGAACAATCCTAAATAAATGGTCGCATCTCGCTAAATATAGTGCGAGCTATTAAAAGCAAGCATATCTAAAAAGAACGTGCAGAAGAGACTCGAAAACTATATATAAAAAAAAAAAATCTAGCTTTAAAATCCAAAATGCACTCCACTGTTCCGATTCAAACCAAAGGTGAGCCTAAGTTGCGAACTGGCTGCAAAAAAATCTAAATGCCTTGCTTCATCTTGAAGACATAATAACGGTGTCTTGCATATACTCGACGAATATTAATTTGAATTATTTCATTTTTCCATGATGGCCCAAGGCTAAATTTTTTGGGTTGGCTCTCAGAAAATAGTTACAATGCTTCTCCATTTCCCAGCACACGTTGCTATGAAAACCAGGTGACTTCTTCAACAAGCCATCGTTCTATTTCTCATTTGAATACATCCTGCCCAGACAGGAAACAATAGAGGGACTCCAGACGTTACTGATAGGGTCAGTCTGATTCTATTAGTGACGCCTGGAGTCCCTCTATTGGCCTCTTTCTGATCTTGTATTTATAGTTGTAATCGACTGTACTTTATTTTAACTCATGTTCCTTTAAAAAGGTTCTTATTATTTAATCATAAATCTTCTTAAAAGAGGTTTTTAAACTTGGCCTTAAAACTATTAACATTGTACTAAAATTAGAGAGCTGTTTTAGTGAATAACATACAAATACAATCCAGCGTTACATTTGAAATTGCCGCCCGCTAGATCCAGGACTGTCTTTCTCCTCTCATTGTCAAGAACTTGCAAATGCTTTGAATTAACAAAATGTTCAACTTACATTAAATATCAAGTGTAGTGATTACCTAGGATGTTAAAAGCGCAGAAACCAGGTCTGACAAACACGTATTAGGAGAGTGGTTATACTGTTAGGTCGATCAATATGTATACATGTGTGAGAAAATTTTTAAATAGTCTAACAATGATGTTTTTCAAAACACTTCTTCAATAAAATTTAACATGAATACTGTTTCGTTCATGCTTAAGTATCACTCACATATATAAAGAAATAAATAACTTAAAATAAAATGAAATATTAAGTTCAAAACCACAGCCTAAATAATGCACTTCACGCTACATTAATTCAAAGGTAATTTTTATTAAAATAAAAACCTAATAAAAATATTACAATCTAACAAAAACATATTCAATTTGAAATAATGATTTGGCACAAAAATACCACAATTGCGAATTCATATAACACTGTAATAAAGAAATAATAACAATATGACCGGTGTTCTAAAATTCTTAGAAAACCTAATGCAGTGCAAAAAAAATTCATACATAAATTCATATGGTACTAACTGTGCAATATTAACTAAAATGTCCTTTGAACCCTTTAAACTGCCGAACAAGATATACTCTGTAAACACGATGAAGTCCTACAAAGGTTTTAAATAAAACCCTTTCATTAAAACTGATTTTAACAAAACGCATAACTTGGTTCATACAGTCAAACTCTGCCAATTGTAAATATTAAACAGAAAAAATGAAGATACAATCTAAAGTGGATTCATAGCCTCAGGCTGCATAATTTGGTCTAATTACACTGGCGTAAACTTCATTGGCACAATTTAACTGCAGCTAGCAAATGGTTAATGATGGAATATTTAACTGGCAAAGCTGGGTGATAGAAAGTAAAGCCACAAGTGTTTGCTGTAAAAAGCACTATATCTAAAACATTCAAAACCCATAATCTTCAATCTCATTTGAAACCTGGTGAGGGCTAATGAAAAGGAGAAGTTATAATAAAGATCCAACACATAAAAATGAGTTAATTAACATAAAATACCTTGTAAATTAATAAAGTTACCTCATACACAAATATATATATATACAGTCAAAAGTTGTTAATCCGGATTCGTTGGGACTTCGGCGATTCCGGATTATCGATTTTTCCGGATTATAGATCATCAGTTTAAATCTCGTAAGATGGCATGCAGAAATTCTAAAATTAAAAATATGAAACCATAATTTATGAAATAAAGAACAATTATGATCTAAAGGGTATCAAAATTTACCAAAAAAAAAAAGCTTAATATTTATTTGTTTACTTAATTAAACATTTCTTTCAATGTAAGTTGTTTCGTTTTATGTGATAATACTTTCTCTTTAATTCTATAAACAGACATAATTTCTTGTTCAGTTACAAAGTTCCGCTGTTTAAGTCCTGTTAATTGCTGTGCCGAGAATACCGACTAACTTGTCAATCGAAATTTTTTCGTTTTCACTAACCTCTCTGTCACATTCTTCATGTATTTATCCATTTTTTGCAGCAATTCCACTTTTTGTTTGATGGACATCGAAACATACTTTCGTTTTGTACGATCCTTTGGGAGCTCCAGAATCGGAAATTCTTTTTGACATGATCGAAAGTTCCAAGTTTATTTTATAGTATTGCTCTTACAGTCTGCAAAAAAAATAATAAGCCGGATCCAATTCGAAAATTAAGGAACAACGCAATCATCAACATTAACTGAAATAGATAATTAGATAATTTTAGCTTATACCATCCGTTATACATAAAACGCGCACACGAAAACGTATTCTGCACTTGCGCACACGCATATGCACAGACGTAAAAGGTGCTTACGCGCACGCGTAAACTTTTTAGCTTTGAGGTCCGGATTATAGATCATTCCGGATTATGGGTGTCCGAATTAACGACTTTTGACTGTATATATATAAATGTTGTATGATTTTAAATTCTCTAAGTTCGAAAACAAGTTATTCAAATACTAGCGCAATAGCTGCAAAGTAAGATAATAATAATTCATTTACTAAAGAAACATTGCTAATCAATATTTCTTTAGTAAATAAATTATTTTATATATGGGGCTTCTGAAAAACAACACCCCATTATGAGATTGCTGGCATGAAAACAAGATTTTCAATTGCCTTAAATTTAACACACTAAAACCTTACTTGTGCAAGCACAAAGGTGTTGACAACATTTTGAAGGCTGCTTTTTTCAGTAAAAACTTATCACTTCATACTGAAGCTGAAACCCATATGTCATGGCATCAGGCATTTGAGTTCGTATATACTAGTCAATTAGCACAGAGGAATCAGATAACCTTATGAAGGCAATTTTGTATACATAAGCACTATGTATTTACTATATATATATACACACACATACATACTCTTTACAGTCCTCATGGATCCATTACAGCCATTACATTTAAATACTAAACAATAAAAATTAATTTACTTTTTAATTCTTCCTTGCTTTTCTCACTTGCAGCATTATCAACTCTTAATGCTCTTCCATTTAATTCATAACCATTTAAATTACGCATAGCACTGAGGGCCATTTCTTGGTCTTTATACTCACAAAAGCCATAACCTTTTGGTTTTCCAGTTTCGCGATCATACACTAGCCTAAAAGTACAAGCACATAATATAATAAAAGCTAGATATACAAAATCACTAAGTACATGAAATATAATTAAATGATGCCCTGCTTGTTATTTTTTAAGGCACAATAAATTGTGCTTTAGTAAAAGCTTTAATCATGCAGTTTTATTTTTAAAATCAAAGTTCCTAAAATTTTTCTCAATGAAGCAAATAATAATTTCATGCATTTTATCAATTAACTATAACAGAATGCTGTGCCCATTTCCAACCTTCCTGCATCATTCATTATTATTAGCATTATTTCTGTGCAGATGTCTAAAACTAAACTAATAACCAGAAATGAATTACTCTGCAATTACATAAGGATTAACCATTTAACAGTTTTGATTGAACCCCATTCAAGTTACATGAAAGGAGACTTCCCTGACTTTCCCGTACAACTCAGCATTGTATTGGTATATTTTCCCACATCAATCCACTGATTTGCATAGTTTACTTTGCAGTGTTTCTAATAAATTGTCTTTAGTAGTCTAGCAGACTGAATTGTAAAACCAATTCAAGGACATGTTTTACTGCTTTTCATTTAGGCTTTGTATGTTGCTCAAAACAAGAGTCCCTGGTTTGCCCGTACACCACTCAAGCAGTATACGGGCAAACCAGTAACCCCCCTCTTTTTAATGAGGAATCTGCCTATCTCCTTGTTTTAAAATGTATCATACCAAAGCTGAATTTTAAACAGAAATAAAAATGTAAGCATTCAAAAAAATACATGTTTTTCCCTTACATTTATCTTCTGTAAATTGGTCTTTCCAGTTTTGCACCTTTGTCAGAAAAAAAAGCCAACAAAGTAAAAATGGCTCATTTTCGCCATAACTAAAAGTTACCTTAAATTAATATATGCAATACTTGAAACAGTTCTGACTGCTGATTTGAATTCATGTAATCAATTTGAATTAAAAATTGTTGATAAAAATATGCTTATTTTTGGTCACACTATGGCAGAAAAATGAAACTGGTAAGTGTTTTAACTTACATTTTAATATATGGTTTCAATAAATAACTAATGGAGTATCCAATTAAAGCAATGTAATCCCCCTCTTTTTAATGAGTGATGTTAAAAGCCATATTTATTTGTTTAAGATCTCAGAATTAACATCAAAGATTCCAATTTTAAACAAAAGCTGATAAATTGTTTCACAAACCGAAGGCTTATATGAGATTCTATCCATCTAACATCTAGAGGTATAATTACAAGAAGATCTATAATTGTGAAAGATTTTGTTTATAAGTTACTTGAAGCAGCAATATGAGATTATTTACATGCACAGACCCAAGCACACACATTATATAGTTGCTCTACTTGGTTGGAAAAGGTGAAGGTGTGACATAAAGGGATGATTTTTATCACTAATAAAATATAGATGAATATGATGGCTCATCAGGATTTAATTTCTCAAACAATCAGACAGTCAATACAGTGTAAAAGGATTCAGTATGTTATTTCGTGCTATCCAATAACATGAAGTAAAACACTTAAAAAGGAAAGAAAAAGTCATGTTCGATATACTAAGGTATAATCAATTAGCTATATCAGTATTCAACATTAATGCTATAATGACTAACTGATCAGACAGATTATGAACAGGACATGTGGAAAAGGATCCTGTACATTTATTAAGTTGTTTAGAAACTACTTTTGATCTTCCCCCTATTATTAAAATAATAATAAAATTTCTACACAGAAATAACTTTAATCAGTAATTGACGCTTTTGTTCGAAGCCATCTGCCGTCTTCTAGACAATTTCTTAATTTCACTTTCAAGAAACTAATCTTATTCTGAAAAATAAATAAATTAATTAAATTAAATAAAAGTTGAATCTGACATTTATCAAAATAGAAGTTTTGCTCAATAAAAGCTCAAAATGAATTAATTCCCTTACAGTATCATCAAGTTTATAACATGTCCTTCTTTTGATGATTAAAAGGTTTTGATGTTGTTTGAGCTGTCTGTCTTTCTGCATATGGACCATGATTTTTGTATGTTTAGTATTATTATAAATAATTAATTTTTCCAACACTTATAAAACTAATTAAAAAATTGGTCACATTTCCAAGTCAAATTAATTACATTAATTAAATTAATGTAATTAATTGTTACATTAATTAAATTTTTTTCAAGTTCATATGGGATCCAAATAACAAGCTTTCTTATAGATAAATCTTTTCAAATAGTCATTAATAAATAATTTTTTGGATAAATTTAAGACTCTAAGCAAGCGCACATACCATTAAGTAATGATCAGCTTCAATCAGTGCTTTTAATTTATATATTAAGAAAGGAATTTACCATCACTGATTTCAAATAATATACGAAATCATGGTGCACCTTGAACTAAAATTTTTAAACCAATTCTGGCGTATTCACTCAATTAGTGCATCATAAACAGTACAAATCTTTTTGTACATATCTGCAATTATCTGCTTTTGCAGAAATAATAAGTGTTGAAAATGGTAATTTGGTATTATCACATTATCTGCCTGACAAGAATCACCGCTATACAGCCAAAGATGACAACCAAGAATTTTACGAAAATGTATTCATACTTGCCAACCTAGGACACTCAAAAATCGGGAGATTTTTCTCAATGAGAAACAGAATTTTTAAATGATAAAAATATTTTTTTTAATAATGAATTAACTTTAAATAGCTACTAATTAATATCTGTAAGTTCAGTCACTAATTCTTAAATGCAAACAGTAAAAAAATACTTACTAGTAAAAAACATTTGCATCCTTTAACAAAAAAATACTTTAATTAGATTTTATACAAATGCTATGAATAGTGGCAGATTTTGTTTTCATTAGGAAAGAAACTTCATAATTTTGTTCATAGCAATTGCCACCTAAGCCTGCTTTTGCTAATAACAGTTTTCCTAGTAGGTCATTACTAATGTTAGATTGAAATTTAGTCCTTAATTTTACAACACTGAAAATCCTCTCACACTCTACATTACTATGGGGAATAGTCAGGATGGCCAACATTATTCTAAACAGTTCATTATACTTTAAAATTCCATCAGCACCTTTTGGTCTTCCGATTAAACTCCACTGCGTATCAATCCTAGCTGATTTTATAACTTTGTACAAATTTATAATTGCAAACTGCAAAATTGTGACTGCAACTTATCACTACTTTGTTAGTTGCAGCCCCTATTACCAAATCTTCATCTTTCTTCTGATTTTATTTTTCACCATAAATCACATTATATAGAGAATTAGAAGACAAAACAAAGACTTGTTTTACAAACTCTGATAAAATGTCTTTCAACAGGGTTCGTACACATTTCCTTACATGAAAATTAAGGACTTTTAAGGACCATCAAAGAAAAAATTAAGGACCTATCAGCAAACAAAAAAAATGAATAGAATAAAGCAATTATCCATACAACTGACTTACATGCTTGTAATTTCACTTTAAGAAACTAACAGAAGTGTGTATTATGCACTATTATTATTAAATTCAATTAATACTTACCATAAAACAATTTTGAAAATTAAACTAACTCCTACAAGTTATGAAGTAGATAAACATTAAATTAGGAACATAATTTCTTGAAAAACATGTATAAGTGTATTTTACACTAATAACAGTCACTATTTTAGAGATTTACATGATTATTATTTAACTTATTTGATATTTATTTAAACACAGTCAACTACTATTACAATCACAATGTAAGAAGATTTTTGCAGATTAAATTAACTGATTTGTAAACATACAATTTATTTCCTTGGTTTTTTGAAAGATACTAGAATAAAATGTACAATAAAAGATACAAAACATTTGTGCTTTTTTTAAATCTGAAAAATTTTTAGCTATTTTAACATCTAATTTATTCATGTCTATTTCCTTTTCTTTAACTATTCTTCTACGTTCATTTGTTTTGATAAACAAATCAATGTTCCTGCTGGTCTCAGCTTCATCTGCTAAAGCATCTACTTCTTCATTAATATCTTTAATGTCCCTTTGAAGAAATTTTTCTTCTGCTTCATATAATCAATTTCTTCCTCAATAATATTTCTTTTCCTTTTTGAATTTTCAGATTCTTCTAAATACTGAACTTCTAAATAACGAACTCCACTTCTTGCAGAAGCTGCTGCTGATCTTATATTTCGATATTAAGAACACCTCCAGAAAATTTTATGTAATCAAATACTGTGCGTTGAAAAATGTATGATGAGTCACTTAAATTTTCAATTTCAATTGCTTTATTTACAGAGAAGACCCTTTTCCACAGAGGCCTGTTCATGTGACAAGATAAGAATACTTGTCACAGTGAATACTTGAATAGTGAAAATATACATTTTTTACTATATATATATACAGTGGATGGACAAAAATATGGAAACACCTTGTGAAATGCATGTTTGAAAAGAAAGATTGATTCTAATGAAATATGTAGGTGGCGCTGGCGTTTTTGACTACTGACGCCACCTATACAACTTCGTAAATGTGCTAAACAGTTCAGTTGTTGTCGGAGTACTGTTATGTGAGGTTGTCATTGCATTATGTCAGAGTTAACAGACTTCGAACGTGGGCAAATTGTTGGAGCACGTATGGTAGGTGCTTCTGTAAGCAAGGTAGCCGAGGTGTTTAGTGTTTCGAGAAGTACTGTATCGAAGATTTATTCCACATATTTGAAAAGCGGAAAAACATCATCTGCTAAATCACAGCGTGGACGAAAGTGTGTCCTGAGTGATCGCAACAGACGATCATTAAGGGCAATTGCGATGAAAAATAAGAAGACCACAGCTGCAAAAGTTACTGCTGAAATGAATGTTGTGTTACCGAACCCTGTGAGTACCAAAACAATTAGAAGGGAGCTTCATAAACAGGGAATTGCTGGCCGTGCTGCAATTGAGAAGCCACTCGTCAGTGATGCTAATGCCCATATAACAGGAAAAGGTGGTGTTTAAGTCATAAAGCCGGACTATAGAGCAGTGGAAGCGAATAATATGGTCTGACGAATCTTCTTTCACATTGTTTCCCACTTCTGGGCCGAGTTTACGTCTGGAGAACGCCATCTCAAACCTTATAATAC